CCCTGACATCCCTGTTTCAGCTCTGCCAGTATAGGTATCAGTATGAGAGTCATCATGATGGAGTTTCTGTTTCAAAGAAAACTTAGGAAAAAGCTCAGGAAAAGCTGTGATGAAAGGACATTCTTCAAGTTCAGTGTTCCCAGCCTGTTGTGTAAGCTCTTCCTAATGAACAAAACCTTTTCTTGATCCACAGCAATTTTTTTTTCTTCAGTTTTCCAGTTCCTTAAAGGCTTAGGAAATTAAACATGTAAAAATATGTGTTAAAAAAATGAGCTCCTAAAATAAATTTTGAATTAAGGCTGCCTGTGCAGCTTAAATTCATGTTTCTGTAAATATCAAATGCTTAATTTTCTTCCCCAGGAGCCCTAATGCAGTCAGTTCAAAAGCCTGACTTAGTCTGGGATTGGAACTGGGTTTTCTAATAAAGGAGGATAGAATGACTGACTCATTTATTGCATGAGGTAAAAGGTGTGTGATAAATTTAAATGGGGATTTGCAGCATCAAAGAAAATGGTCTCATAGCCAAAGTGATTGAATACCACACTAGGGAACTGGACAGGGATAGATCTTATGAGATGACAGGCAAGTCACTTGAAATTAGTTTTTCACAGTTGGCCTCTATTTGTGCTTTCTTTCATTTTTTGAGTAGTGGTAGTTGCCTTGAGATTTTTGGGTCCTGGTTACAAACATCTGCAACTAAAACAAACAGAAGGTTGGCCTTGGGCAGGGAGAATGGCACATAAAGCTAGATATAGAGCAAATCAAGTATCGGTGGATACTTTTTACCTCAATCTTTATGTGTTTAAGTTCACAAGCTGTAAAATTGGACTCTGTCTGTCAGAGGTGGGGTGCAAATAGATCCAAGTGAAGTATTCAGAGGCTGCAGTGGAGAATGTCACAGCAAGGTCCACGGGGAAATGAACCCCTGTGTTCAGAGCAGGCCTGCCTGGATGCACCAAATACAGTGCAGGGCCACACATTGAAGCAGAGCAGAGAATGGAGTCCTGAATAGCTGCTCATTAAGTAAGCACTGTCAGTTCTGGGCTTTGAATGAGGGGAGGGTCCGGGGGGAAAAGCAGTTTGCAGTGATGTAATTAAAGACTGCACCACAATGCACACACAGTCAGGACTGGCATTCAGGCTGCACCAGCCTGCAACTTTAATTTAGGTTTTTCCTAGGCTTTGAGGCTTAGCTTTGCAACCTCAATCACGTTCCTTTAATAATTCGGGGTGCGTCGATGCAACGCCATGGCTGAATTCTTCCTTGTGGGATATGATGTCTTATAAAAAACATATTCTGTGCTCAAAAGTGAATGTGTTGCATTACTTCCTGTTTACTCCCCACGCTGCTATGGATAATTGCTTCTTTCCTGCGGGTGGAATGAAGACTGTTGAAGTCCAATGGCCTCAACCATGGGCTGCTTATTCCATGTGGCATGTAAGCAGCAGGGATTTCCTTGTCCCTGGCTAGAGACCGGCATACTTTACCTCTTCCATGCAAGTAGGATGGAATTAATCAGTGTTGGTTTTCTCAGCAAGCAATGAAATTTCAACCACTGCAGTGTCGGAGGAGGAAGACTCCTCAAAGGGGACCAGGAGAAAATGCATGAATGAGAAGTTCCTGCCAAGACATGAACACTACGCTTGAGTGTGTCTGAGACGTTGGGCGCAGAGAGTAAATAAGCCCCATGACAGGTCTAGCCTAAATACCCAGCACTTCCATGGCAAGTAGCCCATACTTTCACCGCCCTTGGCATGGAGACGAGGATAATATTTTTGCAAGGATGAACTGCCCTCGAACAATGTCTCTAATGTTTCAGTGTCGTTGCAAGCACGCTTTCCTTTCAGATCAGCCATGTGGCTCTTCTTTTCCGTGCCTTTTCCCTTCATAGAAGTACATTTTATGTGTCTGCTGAAGAGGAAATCCCTGTCTTCTGTATGGTTCCTGGGCTGAGGACCCAGAAGACAGTGCACCTCAGTCCTGGGGATGTAGCTGTTAACCCTTAGCTGATGGTTCTCTTCCAGCCAAGCTCACTGGACTTAGTGTTCTGCTATCTCACTTTTATAGGAGAACCTTCACATCTCTAAGGGGAGAATTGCACATGTCAGTCCTGACTTCCATGCTTTGAGAACTCCTCCCAGCTGTTGGACTGATTAATGAAGTAGCAGGAGCAGTCTAGCTATGGGACACAGAATGTTGCTGGTGAAGCCACAGCTTGCTCTAAACACCTGAACACCAAAAAGCCATATACAGCATCTACCCTCTCCAATCTGGAGGTCAGCAGGAAGGTACGAGCACAGAGGCTGCTCTACTTGGTAGAACTGAAAGGGCAAATCTAAGTGGCTGCCCCATAAGTGATCCTTTTTGCCATCTCTGAGCACCTGTTCACATTTATGGACACACAGCTGATGCTTCACACGGAGAAGGCAGCATCACCCAGCTGTTAAGAGGCAGTGGGAGCTGTCGCAGAGTTCTTAGTTTTAGCCTCATCTCTGTACATTCTTGACCAGAATAACTTGAGGAGAGGTTTTTCAAAGGACTAATGGCATCCAGTTGTGATGGAGCTAGTCCTCGCCATGTGTCACTCTGGTATAGAAGTTTATGAGATAACCACATTTAATTTCAGTAGGTTTTTTAATACTCTGCTTATTTTCTGAAGCAGTGTGTGCAGATATGCTGTTGATATGCTTGAGTGAAGCGGTGTCTTAGTGGATCAGCAGCTCTCTGGAAGGGTGCTGGGAGCACTTCAGACAAGCATTAGGATCTCATTTTTTGATGTATTTCTTTGGATCTAGAATGTAATGCAAGGGGATGTTGAAGTATCCTCTTCCAAGTGAGAAGTAAAATGTCTATTTTTTTTTTTTTCAGCATCTAAATACCATATCACTACTTATGAGGTAGGCAACCCTAGCTGGAGTTCCTGTTAATTTTGTCTTCTGTGTGCTGAAATTCTTTTAGTAGTTTTGGAGGTGATAGACTGGGCTTCTTGTTTTGCAGATCTGAACACCATTATTTTGTGTTCTTGAATACTTGTGGCTGTCTGGTGAAATGTAGGAAACAAAATGTTACAGGGGAAAAAATAACAATTCAAGGGTAAGATGGTTTTCATATGACAGCGTGAAACTAAACTGAGAAATAACAGGGGGAAAAAAAGGAGATAAACTGGAAAAATGCAAACATTAGAATAACCTTTAAAACTGCAAAAGTTCTCGGGTAATTTCCCTATAAAACCTAGTTTTCATAAGAATGAAGTGGAAGTTCACTCAAAAATTGCCTTTTCTTAGTAGACCTAAGTACGACTGTTCGTGGTTTTTGTGTCTGGGCACAACCTGCCACACTCTCTGCATCCGTCGCAATAATTTGGTATGAAATGGTTCTTGGTACTGCAGACTTCTGTCGAGGAGAAAAAAAATACTTTCCATTGGCAATACCCTTTTGTACAAGTTCCTTTCAGTGCATTTGGGTTTCTAAATGACTTTAAAATCTCTTTTGCACTCCTCCTATCCATTTTACTCAGCAGCTCAGCTCCTTCACACCCACTCGGAGGGGGCTGTCACTCAGCAGGCAGTGAAATCAGCCTGTCAATATAAACCAAGGCAAAATCAGTGTCTGTATTATAACAAATAAACCACTTGTGGTTGAGCAAAATATCCAGTTAAGTGGTAATTTAGCAGTGTTGTCAGAGGTCAGTGATACCCTTAAAGTTGGTGCAGGTTGATTATGTTTTCCAGTGTATTATTTTCTGTGATTATTAAGGTTGGTGGTTGAGCTTATTTTGCAATTTTTTAAAGGTTGGAATTGACAAACACTTATAAAATAAGTGGAGTTTTACCAGCGTGGAGTTTTTTGTTGTGCTTGAGGTTCGGGGTTTCAAAACACTGGGAGAAAAATTGGAACAAAAAGGAACAAACAAAGGAAAAAAAAAAACCAAACAAGAAAATTTAGCAATGAAGTAACGACTAATAGCATCTGGTATTTTGTTAGAGGAATCACTAATAAAAGGGTTGAGATGCTTAGGACTTGCAGTGAGTATTGAACAGCATGCAGAGTAAGTAATCCCTGTGAATAGTTTTATTATGTGCCTGGGAGTAACGTGTGCTGCTTAAATATGCACTCACAGAGTGAGTGCTGGTGGCTCTGTGCATTCTGCCATCCTGCTGACCTGGTGAAAGTTTAATCTTGACAGCTGCTTCTACCTGGGCTAGTTTAGGAGTCAAAGAGTAGTTTTGCAGAAGTCTTTTCGCCTTGAGAAAGCAATTCACAAGATGTCTCCGTTGGTTTCCTGGAATCGAGGTGTTTATTTTGTGCTATGTACAACAGCAACAGCTCTGTAGATTTCATAACCTTAAACATTCAAATCGCAACTTCTACTGAAATTTTCTTTCAGCGGGTGTTACCCAGAATTTCACCAGGCAGAAGCCTAAATAACAGCACTAGACAGAAAATAAGTTTGGTGCTTCAGTTTAAATCTTTCAGACTGGATGTGAAAGTTCCAAACGAAAAAATGTCAGTAGCTACTGTCTTTGAGAGCAAATCATCCGGTTCTGTCGTTCCCATCCAAAGCAGAACAAAATGAGAACAACCAAGTGTTTGTTCCCCGAATTTCCCAGGGCATTTCTGAGGTGGGCTTTCACATTGCTTTGAGGGTTTGGTTTTTTATCATTCCTCTGGCCTTGCCACAGAGACATTGTTGAAAGTCGTTTAGGAAGATAAACTCCTTTTCCAGCCGGGGTGGTGGTCGGGGTTATGCTGTGGGCAGCCCTTCCCCTGGGGCTGCACGAGCACCACATTAAAGTACTGGGAAATTGTGGTGGTGGAGCATCTTCTGTGATCAATGTGGAGTAGTTTGGAAGCCCACCATGCCCTGGATACCTTTGTGACTGGCCACGAAGGCACTGTGCCCAGGAAACCTCACCAAAGGCATTGATCCCAGGGCATGTGCTTTTCAAGTGTCATTTATGGGAATGGAAACCAGATTACTACTAGTAATGTGAATTTTTTGACTAGAAGTGTAACACACCTGCCCATCTGTCTGTCTGTCTGTCAGCCAGTCAGTCTGTCTCCCTGCTCTATTTTGCTTTTAGTTCCCTTTCAATATAATGTTATTCCAACTGGCAACCAAATGGAAAAGAAAGGATGTGTTTTAAGAATGTGGTGCCTAACAATTTCAGTTGAGAAAAAGCTTTTAAAACGTTCCCATTGCACATTCACAACCCAGATTCCCTGGTGGTTAATCCTGGTGTGTGCATTTCCACTGTCGTGCTGGTGATGAGAAACTGAGAGACAGACTCAGTGGTTTATTCATGCAAATTGTGCTTGACAGAGGTGGGAAAACTAGGCTTGATCCACTGGAATTGATGGGAATCTGCACCCATATCAGTTGGTTAGAGCAGGGTGCTAATTACTCCAAAGTCCAGGGCTCAATCCCCATATGGGCCATTCACTTAAGAGCTGGACTCAACGAGCCTTGTGGGTCCCTTCCAGCTCAGAATATTCTGTTATTCTGTGATTTCAGCAGGCTTAAAGATCGTCTTCATTATTTGTAACAGTTATTTGTTGTCTTTCCCTGCACCCCATTACTTCACACAAGAAATTTTTGCTTCTGTGATCTAAAGAGGCTCAAGCATTAATGGCAAGCTCCATCTTCCCCTGCTGAAGCTGCTCTTGACCCTGCAGGATCTGCAGTCTGCCTTTGAACACAGGGCTGGGGCAGTGACCCATATGGAAAGGATGCTGTTGCCTGAATCAGTAACTTTTAGAAGATACCATAAGTGTTTGGGGAGGGCTGGAATAACTCAGATTTCGTTGGGATGAGAATTTGTCTTCCACTGGTGAATAGCCTGTCTCAGGGCAGAGCATTCTCTCTTTGCCGTCTGACTGTGCTCCTGGCACAGGGCTGGGTGACCAAATGTCTCCTCTGACAGAGCTGAGGGTCCCTCCCAGGCTCTGGACCCCACTCATGTTTTTCTGTGTGGTGACAATGTTGAGCTCACAGGATCTGGTTTGATCCTCCTGCTGCTGCTGCTACAGAAAGGGTGGGTGGGTTGTTATCCCTCCTGCCAAAATCTTTGTCCAAAATCAGCAGAGCCACATACGCCTTCTGGTTCAAGTGCAAACATATTTATGCAACTGTTTGTGGGATTTGACTTTCAAATAGAATTCCATGAGCAGGCTTCAATACAGCTGCTTTCAGAAAACAAATCAGAAGATCCATATATATCACCAAACTGTGTTTAACTGCGAATCTGTTACAGTATTCTCCAAACATTTTTTCCATATCGGTCCAAATCTAAGGTTTAGACTGTTTCCATCTTCAATGTAATGCTGCTGTGATGTGTGGAATTTATCCCTGTAGCCTAATAACATGAAAAGAGTGGAAATAAGGAAAGTTATACAAAGCAAACGCTGTCTGCATCTGAATAATTACATTAGATGTTCGATGATCAGGAGATTGAATTATGTTTGTTTTAAAAAAAAACAGCTGACAAGCAGAGAAAATTAAGTTGGCAGGACTTAAAACCAGTTTGGGGTAGTTCCATTGTCTCACGTAAGCTTGATTGCATTTGTATTTTTAATTAATTAAACTTGGATAGTCAGTGCCAAAACAACGCTTCCTGTAACAGCATAGACCAGGGTCTCCAAGTATTTTGTAGAAAATCCTAAATTCAAAGGGAAAAAAATCGACCAAGGCCAAAAAATATGTTCTCCCCCAGGACTTCTTATGTTAGGTCTTGAGCTTTCTGCAGTGATGAAGGCCTGGTTTGAACTGCAGACTTAGAATAAGGAATCTAAAAAGCCATTATCTTGTCATAAGTCATAACAATTTCCGTATCTTATTAAAAATAAGGAAAGCAGATGAAATATTAATGGTGAGAGAGAGAGTGTGCTTTTTGCCCCCAGCAAGAGAACTTCATCACAGCCCTTGGCTTCAGAATCCCCGTCCGGCACCTGCAGGGCTCTGGGCCTGCCAAGGTAAACACTCTCCAAGACAGAGGCTACGCCATCATTTTTAATCTCTGTGAAGTGCCAGGTGAAGTTCTGGAGCAGTACAGTGGTTAATGTATAAAAGGACTCTGCTGTGCTCTCTTGGACTGAATTTCCGCTCCGGGAGTTTGCGTTGCGAGTAAATAGCAAGGAGCCACGGGGCTGTCCAGCAGCACTCTGGGCTCACACACCCTAATGTACTTATTCTGGCCACGCTGCTTTGAGGGAGGGCAGTGCCTTTAGCCCCATTTTATAAATACAATGTGCCACTGAGATCTGCAGGGCACAGAATATTAGTTGTACTGGTAACTGAATTCCCACGGGAGCCTAGAGGCTTGTATCAGGTTTTTAGAACATCACTTACTGCCACAGTTCCTAGGAATTTTTGAATGAGCTGAAATGTGACGGTTTTATTCCTGTCTTGTGTTCTCTGACCATCTGGCTTGCCTCACTTCTTAAATGCATTGCTGGAGACAGGGAAAGTGGAGAGTCCTCAGCATCTCAACATCAGGTTTCCATCTTAAAGCCCCCCAAACCAACAACAACAAAAAAACCCCAAAGCAAACCACCCCCAAAACCCAGAAAACAACTGACAAGAAGGACAGGAAACTTCTCTGTTGTTTCTTCAACCCATTCCTGCAACGTTCCCAAGTAGGCATCACAAAAAAGAGATCCCTCACTGTGTTACTGTACTTGGCCAGGTTCTACAGTTTAAACAGCAATATCCATGTTTCTTCATCAGAAATGGTCCTGTATTGGCAGTTTCTCAAAGAGAATTGCAGTTTTTCACTGCAAGTGCATGTGTTCCCAGCAAAGTTCATGAAGTCCTGACCGGCCATGGCACCTCCAGGGCTGAAAACCATTGAAAACTAGGAAGAATAAGAAGGTAATAAGTGGGTCTACAGAAGTCTTGCTTTTGAACACAAGGATTATCTTTTGTATTGAAGCACATTTATTAGAGATGGAAAACTGCCTTTTGTAGAATGCAAGAGCTGATGTTTCAGCTTTCCAGATTATTCTGAAATACAAGAGCAACACAGACACTGTTAATAATGCAATCAAAGCAATTTAAATCCTTTTAAAGCATCCACAAAGGGTCCTTTGATAAGAAGCAACTTTCATCAGCCTGAAAGACTTGGCAGTTTAGTATGTGCTGTTGATTAAGTTTATACATAGAAAGTGGTAATTCCACTTTTGGCTGGAGAAGAGCAGCAGTAAATTATAAGACATCTTTATAAGCACCACTGTTGGACTTGCTGGTTTTAAATGAAAAATGCATTTATATTAATATAGCTCTAAATGAGATTATTCAGTGTTTAAAGATGCAATTTGTTTTCCATTAGTGCTCTGACTGGACACAAAGCAATTCTGCAAACTCCAAAGCCTTTGGTGTTCCTTTTTTGACAAAAAGAAGGAAATTGCTACAAGTGCACAGTGTATGATGGGCTGTGAGAATCTGTTTAGGTCAGTTGTACTGCATATTTTTTAATCTTACTTTTAGTTCTTGCCTTTGCCCTCCATTTCATTGTGTGCCCCTGTAAGGGAGCTTACATGAAGAAGGCAGAGATGGGCAAAAAAACCCAGAAGTGGTTTTAGATTTGGGCTGAGCTGGTTAAGATCTCTTTTAGCACCATTCCCCCTGAGTTGATTGAGGAGGGAGGCGTAAATTCTGGGACATCTCTAGCTGAGGTTTCCATCCCAGGAATGGTGGGAACCACTTTGACAGGCCTCAGCCCCTTTGAAAAAGAAAGTTTTTCTTTTGGTGTGCCAGCAGTCTTGGGAACTGACTGCTGGCCCCTCAGGCTCTGATGCTGCTCCTGTTGTCCAGCCTGAATTTGTATTCAAATGCTTTCTTCTTCCATTTATTTGGTGTGGCTTCTGTTGTTCTGGACCAAAGCAGGTGAGAGCAAGAGAGAAGCAGACAAATAATATAGACTTGGAACAACATCTAAAGGACTTTGATTCACCTTAAAGAAAGAAAATAGTGAGGGGGAAGATGAGTTCTTGTCTTGGGTCATTGAGCATGAGCAGGAAGTGAACAATTAAGTCTTCCTAGATCCTCCTTGGGGTTTCCAGATGTTGAAGAGGATTTGTTTGGTTTGCTTGTGGGGTTTTGTTGTTGTTGTTTTCTGGGTGTTTTTTTTTTTTGGCAGCAGAATTACTTTGCACTTGGATCTTAGTTTTCTTCCAGGCTGATTTAATGCCAAAGATAGCAGAGAAGGATGGAGAGACCAAATGTTCCCGTGCAGCAGCATGGTGCCTTGTCTCCTTGGCCATTCTCCATGCATTTCTTTGAAATATCTTCTCTTGGGATTCCAGTGTGTTGGAAAATAAAATGCTACTTAATAGATAGCACAGAAGTACAATCACTGGCTGCACCAGCAATGGCTAAAAAGCCAAAAAGATGTTCCTGGCTCCTGTAGACCAGAAAAGTGAGATTTAAACTGAGTTCATCCCTCCCCACAGAAGTGTACAGGAGGAAGCCTCACCAGCTGACTGCAGGGGTTGGATTAGCAGCCCTTCAGAATGAGTTGCAGAAGTGCAACTTTTTATAGCAGTCTCACTTAGACACCTGCAGTTTACACTGAATATCAGAAAAACCTGGTTTTCAGCCAAGAGTCATCACCCAGTTTTGTAGCTCAGCACTAACCCGTCAAGACCCACAGGTATATTGCAGATGTGAAAGAGGAGGGGGGACCTGGTCTCTCTGCAGACCACTGTTTATCTCCAAAATGGCTAAGGTGGTATTTTGAGCCAGCCAGAAAATGCAAGGTATTTAAATGGGAAATTAAGACAAAAAATCTTCACGAGGCACAGGGTGGTTTTTATCTAATTCAAATATTAGATCTTCCCCCCTTTTAATTGAAAGTCAGGGATTTTGTCATGAGCAGCTTTTGTTACCTTGTGTGGTGTTTTTCACTTCATCAGTGGTATATTTGATCAGTATGAAATTTTATTAATAGGATTATTTTTCCTAGGCATGTGCTCAGATCTTTTTCTGAACCTTTCCAGGGTATCTGTCAGGGAGCAGATCTGGCCATAGGCTTTGAATGGTGATGGAGTATTCTGGGCAGGTGTAACTATTTTGGTATGTTCTCAGTGCTGGGCGCTCTAAGAAATTAGTATTTCAATACATAAACTATGAAGTAAAGGGGGAAATGAATCATTAGAATTTAGAATAAACACCATTTATCTTTATTTATCTTATGAATGTTTGTGACGGCATTTTGTGTAATACTTCTTCTATATTAATCTGTGTTGTTACTCTGTCAGAAAGATAAAGAACTCACTTGCATGTGCACGTTGTTTGCCAGTGATATTTTCTAAATAAAGAGTTTGGCGTCAGTGTCTGCTTTCCCAGGGCTTTGACCCACCCAGCTTTTCACCCATGTTTTGGGTGACTTTGCAGGTGTTAAACAGGATTTCACTGAAGCAGGAGGGTCTGACTACCAAAGATATCGCTCTCAGAGCTGTTTTAGTTACACTTCATCATCTTAAGCATATGGTTTCACTTCCAAGTGTTTAACATTTCCATTTCCTCAGGAAATCATTCCTTCTATTTTTTAAACTTTTGAAACTGGATGGATATTTTTGCTGGCAGGCAGACCCGAGAGCGACACAGCGACCAGCCCCAGCCCCAGAGAGCCCCTGGCTGTGGTACCCACCGGCCTCCCCATCCTTCCCCTCCTGCTGCAGCTCCTGAGCACGGCTGGGGGTGCTTCAGCCAGGTCCCTGGGGTGCAGCACGCTGTTAAAACACTCCTGCTTTCCTTACCCTAGTAAAACTACCCACTCCTTTTTTCAGCTTTAGCTGCGAGAGATGTTTTTCTTTCTCAGTCCACTCTGGGCCCATACATCCCAAGAATTAGTTGAGCACAGACTGCTTTAGCTGACTTAGTGAGGCCAGAGGCAAGATCGGGGCCTAAGAAAATAGTTTGTGTCACCTACAAGGAATGAAAGCATTTTCATCCCGTGTTTATTGTCTGTGTTGGTATATCCAGCACATGCACATGACAGAGGAGTGATGGCTCCAGGGGGCTGCTCTGGCTGTTGTGTTTTCAGAGATTATTTCTGGTATTTCCTTTTTCCTCATGACGAATGGGTCACCCCTCTCACGTGTTGGCCAAGTTCTGTGCCATAGGAGAAAGTCTGTGCTCACGTCTTCTTTATGGTGCATTTACCCACATATGTCATAGTGTTTAGCTGCTGGTTTTCTTTTCCTGCTGTGCTATGCAGTGCAGTTATGGATGTGCAATTTGCACGCTCATTTAGCTGGTGTCACTGGCCCTTTTGTGAGAGGATCATCCTCTGCTGCAGTGAGTGTCACTATGTCAAACAACTTTGATAAACTGACTGCATTCTGTACAACGAGCGTTGTCACTGTGTATCAAATAGTGCTGTACAAGAGAAAATGTAGAGCAAACCAGCTGATTAAAGTGTTTGTTCCTTTCTGTTTTACTCCTGTTACAAATACAGACAGTCACAGTCTTTGCTGTGCTTGTTTAGCAGGAGGAAGCTTGCTGTGGGTTGGGGCTCCTGGAGGCAGAGTCCTGCCATGAGCAGGCAGGGCATATGTTTTATTCTTACCCTCTCGAGTTAGTCAAGGGAGCAGAAAGCATCATCAGACAGATGTAGTTAAACCTCCAGACCTCCCAAGAGAGCTCATCTGAGCTGCTCAGCCTCTGGCTTCATGCTGGCCCCTGTGAGTTGCTGTTTGGATCCGCTGACTCTTCCCTAACTGTGTCTGGACACTCCTTCACCTTCTCACTAGAAATGCTACTCAGTCAAGCAGCACAAGCATGCACCACTCCCAAGGACACTCCCAAGGCTCCTCTAGGTCCCAGCAAGCCCACTGGCTTTCTCGCCATGTGGATCTGTGTCATGATGTTCCGAGCTGAAGGCTCCAGCTCGTGCAAACAAACCAGTGCCACAGGATTGCTGCTGATAGTTAGACAGACTGGAGGTCAAGGTAGGATTTACACTGATTTCAATCCAGTTTTACTTGCAAGAGAGTATTAAAGCATTGCAGCCTACTGGATAGATTGGGTGATATCCTGATCCAAAATGGACAGGCAATGCCAGCTAAAAAAATGATGCTGGTACGTTGTCCCAAATTGCTTCAGAAGACCAGACCAGAGCAGGACCACCCTGAATTAAAAGCACAGTTCAGCTGGTCCCAACCCATGTCTCCAGTGATCACTCTATAAGTGCTTCAGGGACCAGTTCCTGCTGTACAGCCACACCTGCACCCTGGTGCAGCACTGGGCAACTCCATCCTTCCTCTCACGAGAGGAGGCCTTGGGTGCTCCTGCCCTCCTGTCCCACAGGCAGTGAGTCCAACATCTCAGACAGCATTTTGTCATCAGGACAGATGTACTCAGAGGGTGTTGAAGCCCTGGACCAGGTTGCCCAGGGAAGTTGTGGATGCCTCATCCCTGGAAGTGTTCCAGGCCAGGTTAGATGAGGCTCCAAGCAAACTGGTCTAGTAGAAGGGGTTGCTGCCCATGGCAAGGGTATGGAACTAGATGATCTTTAGGATCCCTTCCAACCCAAACCATTCCGTGATTCTATGATGTCCTGGTTTTGCAGAACATGATCCCCAGGGACCTGTGATAAGTGAGCCCTTTGGCTTGGTGCCTCCATGGCAAAGGTGAGCTCCATCAAAGACATGTGCCTGCATCCCTGGAGTGCACAGAGCTGAAGGGCAAAGGGGGAATAAAAGGCATTGCAGGAGCCACTCCAGGCCCGAGAGAGAAGTAACCAAGGCACTGACAACTTGTGTGGGTTTCGTATGTCTGTTTGCAGGGCTGTGTTATGTGTTTAGAAGCTGGTTGTTTCCATAATAACAGCAAGTGCCATATGGCAGCGAGGAGGGTGGTGAGAAGAACGCCTAAGGAAACACAGTATGTTGTTTGACATGTGTGTACTTCTAGAGGAATAACGTGTCTCAAGCAAGTAGTGCTGTTCCAAGCAGGCTGGGGGAATTTTCTGCTCTCACCAGAAAAATATCCAAAGCCCTCAGCATTTGTCCTGGTGCAATGCCAGTTAATGACGCCTGCCCTTCGTCCTTGTTTTCCTGCAGATAGTCCTTGTGACGGGCAAAGGACCTCTTGCTTTGCTGCAAGTGATGGTTCTGGATGCACCAGCACAGGAGAATGGCATTTAAACATGGAGTTTAAGAGGAAATACTGTTCTATAAGGAGTGCTGTGTGGAACTGAAACGAGCCAGATGCCATATGCTCCATCCATTCCTTAGCACTCAGCAAGTAAATAGCAGAAATTTTAAAACCTTTGAAAATGCATAGTTTATACTATAATTGTTTAGTAGAGAGTGAGCAGAGCATCTCCAGAGATTAGGGGCACTTTAGTGCATATCTAGAAAGCATCCAGGAAGGTCTCCACAAATTACAAATTTTCCTGCCCTTTAATGTATGACTCGCATTTCAAGGTCTTGTAATTTGCTCCACAGATTCTCACAAACATCACCAGTACCTTTGAATACATTTCCACTGCAGAAAAATATGGAATTATTTTTTCATAAGACCTGAATGACTTTTGCCTTTTGCCAAAATGAGTTCTACAAAATTCAGCCCCTCTTATTTGAGTCTTAAAGCCATTAATTATGTTTGTATTTGGATACCTGAAATGTGGTGGTGGGGAGAAGGATGTTGTTCTGATTTGAGGTCGTAGTTCTGCACTCATTTGCAATTCTCTAAACTCCTGAACAGTCCAGAAGACAAAGCTCTTCTCATTTTCATGCTTCTCTTCTTCTCCTTATTGCCTCTAGAGAGAGATTACTGCAGCATATGTGAAAAGCAGCCGATCGGAAGGCTTCTCTTTCGGCAGTTCTGTGAAACTCGACCCGAGCTCGAGTGCTGCATCAGGTTCCTTGACTCGGTGGTAAGTCAATTCTTATGATATTTTGGGGTGCTTCCCAATGCTCTCCTGACAGAGGAGACTCCTTTGACCCGTAGGAATCCCTGTTCCATGGGGTGTGAGGGCTGGCCCCATCAGCAGCCCAGCATCACTGGCAGTAGAGGGGCAGTGCTGCACGTGGGGTTGGTGCCAGCCTGGAGGGACACCAGGGCGGGATGAGGACAGGCACCCCCCCCAGTGCTGGTGTGGCTTCCCTTCATGTCAACTCCTGAGCAGCTGAGCTGCTATGAGTAATGTCTTCTGATGTGGGTGAAGCCTGAAGTGCTGGGAGGCACTGGGAGGAAAGGGAAGGTGATGAATGGACTGACAAGAGAGGATGAGGAATGTGATAATGCTAATATCTCTTACCAAGGCTTTTCATCTGTAGACTTCAGGGTGATTTACAAAGGATATCCTGAAAATTACCTTGTTTTTTCAAATAGGAGAGCAGAGGCACAAGGTATAGAAGTGACTTGATTGAGATCACTAGGAAACAAATCTCCATTTTCCATCCCAGTGAGCCACTGAGCAATGCCCCTCAGCCCCAGGGGGACCTGATGCTCTTTCCCAGTCTGGCAGTGCTTGGCCGTGTGCACTGCCAGCTGTTCACAGTGGAAAAGTCTCCCAGTGACTTTCTTGCTGGGAACCTGTGAAAGGGAAGGTGTTGATCAGCCAAAAGGCTAAATCATAACAGAGAGGAAGATGAACTTGTCGCTGCTGAGTGTGAGTGTCCACGGGGCTTCGCTCCCTGGCTCACAATGACAGGCAAAAGCAAAACAATGCATAACAGGAATAAAATTGGTGTGTTTGTACTGTGGTGGTGAAGGTATTCTGAAGTATAGGGAGATGTGAGGACTGCACTTAAGTTGTAAAAGTAACAGTCTGGAAGGGGACATGTGGTCTCTTAAGGTTTATGTCAGTACTGCAGTAACTACAGCAAATCCACAGTGTCACAGAAAGTGTTGGATAAAGTCCGATTCCAATCAGTTTTAGCCAGTCATGACTTCTGCCTGTTATTTCTAGCACTGGCTGTGATTTTCTCCAGTGAAAGGTGTAACCACCAAGGTACACGGAACATCTGACAAATGCTCTGTGCAGCTGTGCTCAAGGCCAGCAGGCAGCAGGGTGCTTCAGGTACCCTGGATGTGTTTGTCCTGCACCAAGCCAGCATGAGACACCACCCACCCACCTCGGGGAAGGCACCCCACAGAAATGCCACACAGGGTGTAACACCTGCAGCCCCGAGGAGGTGGGTGATGGCCTTCCCTCTAGGAAGCTGCAGAAATCCTTCAAGAGACAGTCACAAAAGGCTGCTTGTAAACAGTTCTAATTTCAGACAGAAGTGACGGCGTCGCCCTCAGTTTGGGGAGGGTTGGCAGGGCTCTGCTCTTTTCTCACGCCTCCTCGCAGCAGCAGGCGTCACGTTTTGGTTCCAGCAGCGCCCAGGGGCTGCAGAGAACAAGCCCCTGTTGTGTGAGCCCTGCATACACGCTCGGGGCATCCCACTGACAGCAGCAATCATATCTGGGCACAAGGAAACATCTCTGTCGCCCCCGGTGCCCCCCGAGCCCCGCGTGATCCCCGCGGCTGCAGCGCTGCCCGCAGCCTCTCCCGCAGCCTCTCCCGCCTCTCCCCGTCGCGCCGGCTGCCCGGCCACCCTCGGGCTCTGGGAATTGAGGGCACTGTGTCATTTCTTTCTCCCAGAGCCCTGTGGAGCACTGACAAGCACTGACACTCCGTGTCCTCTCCTCATCCCTGCGGCACAGGCAACACCGGTCCTGCAAAAGCTGGTGGTGGGACTGGATTTGTTTTTCAAAGGTTTGTCTCCAAGCAAAGCCAGACTGATATTCCCAAATCCTTTTGCAAGGGGGTGCTTTGCACCCAATCCCATGTTGCCTTTTCAGACCAGAGCTACCCTGTATACCTTTACTGGGCTGGTGGTCTGTTCCCAGTTAGGCTCAGACTGGCAGTAGGATTTTGAGGATTTGGTGAACAAAATGCCTGGCTGTGTGGAGGTCTGAATATTTATCTTTCTCTCTTCTTTTTAACACTAATTAACAGCAGTCTCCTTTGTTTATTGATTTCAGATTCTGTACAGGCTTGCTCCCAGCCCGTGAAAATCCCTGCATTAGGCAATGTTAAGGTCAAACAACGCAGCCCATGGCCATTAAATTGGATGAGTGCTACTGAAATTTGCCCAGCAGGGTCACACTGTGTTGAGTGAGCAGTGGGATTCAGGCCAAGCCCTGTGTTAGGCAAAAAAGTCCTGTAATGAGACCAGAAGTTTGACTTTACAGTCCTATTCTGAGACCACCAGGAATGTGAAACCTTTTGGAGACCACCTGCTGTAACAAGCCCCAAGCAGGAGAAACCAAGAGCCTTAATTTTCTTTTGTCTTAGTTATTTTTCTGACATGAGATGCAAAACTTAGCTTTTATGTAATATCAAACAAAAAGAAAAAATAAGAGGGGATAATATTTAACTGTTCATGAGAGATTAACAGAGCTTCTTGCACATAGAGAGGTAGGACCACCTCTCTTTTTCAGAGCCCATCTAAGTGACTTTACCAGGGTCACACAGTAAGTCATTGGCAAAAGCCAGTAATTGATGCCTCCCCATTTTTAATACATTTTTTTTTTTAACCCATGCACTCAACTTCCTGCAAAGAAAGGAATGATCAGGACTTATGGGAAGAAACCAGAAGCTGAGTCAGACACTTAACAACCCACCAACATCCTTATGGAAGACTAAGTTTTGCAAGCTCTCTTACACCTGTACTTCCAAAGGCTGGTAAAATCAACCACACCTTGCAGACCAGAATCTGTAAAGAGACAAAAAAAAAAATCCGTCTTGGCTGGACATTTATGTGAGCTGTTGTGTGAAATAACTAACCTGGTCTGATGTAGTCTCCTGAAAATCTAATTATGGCAGCATCTGGGGTTTTTTGTCTGTGCAGTACAGCAGTGGTTAGGCTGCTTTCTGAAGAAAAAGGGTTTGTATTGTTCAATTCTGTGCGTGTGTGGGTGTGTAGCTGTCAGTTCCCTCTGAAACCTGAAACCTTGGCCACTTCCAACGAGTAATTGTGATGAAAGTGCTCAGATGCACAAAGTTTCTACCTGCTTTCTGAGGAGAGTGTTTGAGTAATAACTCACAACCAGCTGTAGCACAGACTATGACACTACATGGTCTGTAAGCAGGAGGCCCCAACATTAGATGATGAGAGATCAAAACTAAGAGATAAAATATTGAGTAAGAAGTACTAATGGCTGCAGCTTGTGCCTCTAAACTCGTCTGTGTGCCTGTAACCACAAAGATCCCATGGATAGCTCACCAAACCCTCCTGTAGCCATTCAGATGAAGGAACTACATGAACATAAACTCCTGTTGTTAAACAGAGACAGTTTAAGATTAAATCAGCTCCTCTATAAGCCCTTAACAAGGCATTCACGCACAGCCCTGAAGCACACTTTGCTCTGCTTACAAATATTTTAGCGACATCGTACAACTTTGGAGCTGTTGAAAGACAGTCATGAAAATAAAGTGCGAGTGGATATGTTTCCTGTGCTGAAAGGCAGATCAGTGAGCAGGGAATGTGCTAGCAGGACATGTTTCCTTCTCTGCAGCCAGTGCTTCCAGGACAAGAGAGCAGCAGTTCAGTTCAGCAAGGACTTCTTGCTCCTGTCCCCTCCTCAACAGCACATTCCCGGGGTGCCAGCTCCTGACATTTCC